TTGCATGGGAAGAAATTAAACTTAAATAATTAAAATAAATGATATTATCAATAACAGAATATCATATTAATTTAAATTTAAATTTTTGAAGAGAAATATTTAACATTATTTGTGATTTATGATGTCTACTCATTGAATAAAGTATTTGTATTCTTAGAAAAATTTCGCAATAGATTAAATTAAAATTTGTGTCTAAATATATATAATTAAAGTAAAATATTCGAAAGATTAATATAATTGGATTTACTTCGTTGATATATTATTTTTTTTTTTTTTTCTAGATTGTCAAGGTAAACTTTGTCACTTTTCAGGAAACAATTCCACAGGAAAAATTCTAACACATTAAATGTGAAATCACGCGATGTTGGTAATCTCCTTCGAATGGTACGATACATCTTATAAATTTCCAAAAACGATTGACGAGCTGAAACAAAAATAATTACAGCCCCTATTAACGAATTAATTCCTGTTATCTCTGCTATTATGGCATGAACGTGTAATGAAAAATTAGATAAAACGAGCAAAAGCTCGAAGAGATTATTTGAATGATAATTGATTGTCTTTCATTGATTAATTATTATTAAATTAAAAAGAATTTTAAATAAAGTTTTATTTTAAATAGTTCGTGTTTTCCAGTTTGAAAAAATATGTCGCTTAATTTGAATATCCCTATATACGTTAAACCGAAGTTGTCAAAGTTAATAATTTATAACAGAATAAGAGATAAATTTCAGGATCGTACTGGTAAAACTTCACGATAATTTGGTCACGTACACTTGGTCACGTATACTTACACAACAGTCATTTCAATTATATTCTCTGATGAGGTCACAAAAGTATTTAAACGCTTAGATACAAACAATATTAACAATTAATTTTCTATATTGATCTTCAATATTAATCTTAAAATAATAAAACCAATCATTAACCATTTAATCAAATAATTAGCAGGATGAATTTATCGATCGAAATTTAATTCGTATTTATTCAGGAATATTAATAATACAATCTTTCTTTATATCTTGAATATAATTAATTAAAAATAAACTGTAGACTTATAATAATTTACTTACAGAATTCATCGCAAATGAAAGTTCTTGTATAAGATATTTATATATTGATTAAAAAAATATATTGTAAAACATAGTATATTTTTATGCAGATAACAAAACGTTTATTTTTTCTTAACTCAATTTTAATTTATGTATTATTAAATCATTCAGTATAAATAATAATTCGTCAAATAAAGTAGAATTTATTAAATAGAATGTTGTTTTGAAACAATGTATCATTATTTTTTATTTAACAAGATTTTTTAGAATAATAAAAGATAATTTGTTGTATCTCCTTGAATCTTTCTTGAATTCCATGAAATATAAATAATGTATTTCCACAAATTATGATACATTTGAACAGTGATTCATAAATATCAATTTTTACGTCAACAGAGGAATGAAACATTTTTATATATTTTAAAAATTAAAGATGATGTGTATACCTTAATAAGAATAATTAATAAATTTTAATAGAAATATAATAGAATGTTTATTTAATTTGAGATCCATCAATTATTTAATTGATATTTCGATAATGTAATTGATGACAGAAAGATGTACAAAGTAAGTTTCATTATAAAATAAAATAAAAATTATTCGATGATTACTCATCATTAATCATTAGTTATAAGCTGTATACTCTATTTAAAAATATAGACCACTTCATTTTATAAATGTATATAAATGCATATTTTCATCCTTCATCCTAAGTGTTGTTAATAATCTTCTATATTCAAATTTTATTAAAATTGAAAATAAAATAGTGAAGAATTCGTTACATCAAAATGCATTGTTAGAAAAAAATGTTGTTTTATACGTGTATTTTGATAGTTGAGAAGGGATAGAAAGAGAAACCGAAAGGAAGATTAAAAGATTAATTTTACATATTGAACAGTTATCATGTTTTGTTCATAATTTATGTTTGATTGAGAGCAAAAGTCAAGAATGATATCACAAATGATTGAAATTGTGTTTATTTTATTAATTACAAGTAAGTAATTGTTATGTTGAATTTAATTTTCCTTGAAGAATTATTTGTCTTAATTTTATTTTTTCAGAAAACTTTTTTCATTGGGTGTATGATTATAATTAGGATAAAAAACGTGAAAATATAAGGATTGATTAATGAAAAAATGCATTTGTTCCATTCACTTTTATAAATAATCAATTTTATTTATTTTTCTAAAATAATTTCGAAACTTGTGCATAATATTTAACTCGTATTTAAATTATTTCTTTCTTATTTTTTTATTTGAATCAAATGATATGTATCGATAGAAAAGTTAGTAATTTAATTTCATTTAAAATTGTTCAAAATTACGAAACAAGATTCTCGCGCCATCTATATATGCGATGGATTATTATTGGTCGGTAGATTATTTGTCCGATGGCATTCATTTTACATTTCTTACTTTTATAATACCTTGAATTTTTACAATTACTTAATAAAGTATCAATTAAGATTTACAAAAGCACTTTACTTTGCAATACATATAATTATAACTATAATCCACGACTAATTTAATCGCATATTAATCCTTCATTTTTCTTAATTAAATATTTTATTATTGCTTATTATTTACATATTTTATTATTATTTAATTTTCAATGAAAATTAAATTTTATATTATTTGCTGACTTGTCGTAGAACAATGACATAGATGACTTAAAATTTCCATTTGATTTATTGGTTTATTAAGAAAACGTTATTGTTGCTTGTATATACATACTTTTTTACTGGTAGAATCTTATATCTGAATTTCCAAATCGCAATTAATGTGCCATATATTTTTTATTATATTTTACTAATGAATAAATATCTACATTTCAGGTCCTGGAGATTTTTGAGATCATCTTGAATATTGCAACAATAATACCATAATTCATCGCCTGGTGAATGAGTTTCCTGTCAATTTACCAGAATAGCAGTTAGTTTCATCAGGCGGCCAAAGCATCGACAGTAGTAAAGTCACGCATTTACGTTGCAATTAGATAAGGTAAGATTCTTTAAGTTTTCGTTTATCAATTAATTTTTTTGCAATTTTACATTTCATCGAATTATTACGATGATTAAATATCACGTGTTTCAATTGTTAATTTAATTTAATCATTAATTGCGAAAATATTGTACAATAATTTATTCATAAAAAATCTTTACAGGGTTTCTTGTAATAACGAATATGCAGTGATCGTGATGTGAAAAAGTAAGTCGAAAGTATGTAATAAAATTTTTTTCATTTGAGACGTTGTTTTCGAGTAAAATAAGTTTGAGAAATTTTTAACTAGACTAGTTTTCGATTAGATACGAATGAAGTAAATAACTATTCTAGTTGTGTGAAAATAAGTAAAGAAAAAAAATGTAAAATAAAATTTTATCGCTTAAGTCACTATTATTATTATTATCGTTAATTTCTAATCTTTTAAATCTCTACAATCTAAAATAATTTTCTTTTTTATTTTTTCACAGATAAAAATTTAATAAAACTTTGAAAAAGAGAAAGGAAAAAATGAAAAAAATATTATTAACAGTTAAAAAAAAAAAAGTATTTTTAGGTATATAATACAATGTTTAATTTGATCTATTTTGAATCGTGATACTCGCAATAAATACTACAATAATTGTTACAATTTTTCAAATTTATATTTCATACTGATTTACTTACTATATTTTACTTGAAAATATTTTGAAGAAATTTTTTATAAATATCAGTTTTTAATTTTACCAATCACTGATAACTCAATAATATTTACAGATGAACTGTTCAAATCCATATTTTATAATAATATTATTTATATCGCATATATAATAATAATAATAATAATAATAATAATAATAATACAATTTATGAAAATATATAAATTACAATTGATATTAAAAAAATCTTTAATGTTCTACTTGTTTGTTACATTTCAATTTTTTTTTTTTTTTTTTTTTGGAAGTCAATAATTAAATTGAAGATGAAATTTATATCGACCGTGATTTCGTGTTTATTTCGGTTTTTTCCATCTTCTTTGTAAATAACCTTTATTGAAAGAGGATTAGGGGTGTGTACATATAATATACATCCATATCAGTGAAGGAACAGTGCAAATTTCGTCATTGTCGAACGGAGAAATGGAATTTTCCATTATGTATTTTGTTCACTATTTAGTTTACAAATTTAAGGAAGTTTTTAAGAAGGCCCGAAAAACGGACACATAACAGATAATTAATAGTTCATGTAAATGTATATAGAAATTTTGCATATTCTATTTTATTTTATCAAATTTAATGATCTCACTGACAAATATTTTGTTAAAAATATATATTTTAAAACACACGAAATATATTTTTATTAAAAATTTAAGAACTAATCTTGAAGAGGACTTCGTGTGAATCATTTGATAATGTTTCCACAGATGAATCAGTTTTATTTTAGTAAGAAACGTGAATCACATTTTCGATAAAATTTGAAGTAATAAATAAGTAAGTGAAGCTTACTAAACAGTCATACAGATACATTTTCAATATTCTAAAATTCATTATTATGTATGATAAATTGCTTCAATATTAAAATATTTAGAAGAATGTTATCAATTATCTGAGGCTTTATGTGAAATAATTAATAGAAGAGAGGCAGATAAAAAGTTTGACTTTAAATTTTTTTCTAACTAAAAAAAAAAAAAAAAAAAAGAATCGCATTAGTGCATTTTCTGAAATTCATATTAACCCGTATTAATTCGCATATTGCAGGATGTGATGCCTTTTATGCCTTGATTGTTCGAAAGAAATTTTCCTGCGAAATCCCTAGGCATGGGCCATTGGACAAATTGACGATGGAGCGGTGTTGTGCGGGTGGAGATGACTTTTTTGTCTATCGCCGATATGATTCGTTTCGATAACCAGTTTCGCCCCACCAAAGTCTGGATTTACATACGTGTCGCAGGAGGCTTTTACGTTCGCTTGATTTTAACACGAATTGTAGTTTCGCGGCAGGCATGAACGGTGCGTGCAGCTGAAACTACGATCCGCTTCTTCTTGTTTTACCACGGTGCACGTTGTAACTATTGTTGTAACGCGCAACCATAATTTCCTTTCTTTCTTTTTTTTATTTTCCTCACCTTCTCTTCCTCACCCTTAACTCTCTTTGTTGTAAGAAGAGAAGAAGCGCGCAGTAGTCATTTTTTCCTTTTTTTAAGATTTTTGTTGTTGTGTTTGTGCGAATTCTCCTCAGTGGCAACCGATAGACTGATCGATAGACTTAAGGAGGGAAAACAAAAAGGGATATTTAATGCATTCTTCAGTGAAGTTCAAAGGCAAGTTTCTTAATTCGTGATGAGATTTTTTTTTTAAGTCATTTTCGCTCTCTTTATTTTTTCATGTGATTTCGAACAAGGTTGAGTAAAATTGGATGTTTTATAGATATTTTTTTAAATAAGGTATTGTTTAATAATTAAAGTTTCTGATTAATGATGAAAAATCAGACATATACTTTTTTTTTTTATTGCATACTTACAAAAGTTTAATGTTTCACTTTTCAACAAATTTTAACAACGAGGAAAAGATAAAATATTAGAGTACTATATTATTATTATTATTATATTAATAAATAAATCATATTTTAAAGGAGAAACTTTCAATTATTATAAGGTGAATATAAGACTTTTGATGCAAAAAGTCTTTTCTTTTCTTGTCTGATTTTTTATTAATATATAAAATTATCATCGAAATTTATTCTATGTTTTTTTTTTATATTTTTAGGAAGATGGTTTCGAATGGTTTCATGGACGAAACTTGACATAAAATTTTCGTCAAATTGTTGTAATTTTAAGCAAAAAATTACGAAAATTCTATTAATATAATTAAAATTTATTAATTACGAAAGTTAAATCTCTTTGATCATTGTGATGCATTGTGATCATTTATGAAAATATATTTTCTAATAGATAATTAAATATCGTCGAAATTTTTATTTATTGCGATATTCTAAAGTTAGCAATATTGTATAAATATATCGTTTATTTAACGATTTCGATTTAACTCGAAATAATTAGACAAAATGATAAAATTTTATTTAAAGAGAAATTCCAAGATCTTTTCTCCCCCATCGAAACCATCCATTGAAACCTTTGCGTGTTTCGTAGATGAAAAACATTTTCTTGCAAATAGCATGAATTATTCACAAATAATTGTTCCTTTGCGAGTTAAACTTAATTTTAAAAACAAATTTAAAATTTAACTTTAAAATTATTATCGAAATTTTTATTGTGAAAAACTAATAATAAAAAAATTTAATATTAGAAAAAATACTGGCGTTTTGTCGCTAGTAAAGATAAATTGGCGAAGAATTAACATTTTAATATTGTTTTTCCTCTTGTTTATTACATTTGTCATGAACCATACTGAAAAACGAGGAAATCACGTAACAGGCACGTTTTGAATTATTTCAAAAGTCACGTAAAATTTTAACTTTCTCGTTTTATATTAAATTTACTGAAATATTTGCACGATCAAAGAAATGTTTATTCGCAGTGAAAGATGTACGAACAAATACGAATAGTAATATTATAAATAATGTTTATTATTATTTTTAAAATTTCGTTACAAAATTTCATTACAAAATAAAAATATCAGTGAACGTTACTACAATATTTCTTGTATTTCTTCGTTATAACAAGTAGTTATTAAATTAGGAATACAAATTTAAATGGAAAAAATCTTTTATATTATAGATATTATCATTATTTGAAAAAGTTAGAAAAGCGATATTTAATCTGATATTATTGCAGTGGAATTTTACTTTATTTTTTTTCTACAAGTTTTCTACAATTAAAATAATCTTGCAAATGTTTTCTTTATTAATCAGATAAAAATTGTATACAGAAACTTATATTTAAATTATTATGAAAAATTTTTTTATCTTTCAAGTCATTACGATATATGAAATTTCTGATACAAATTTTATCGATTTTAAGAGATTAAACAAATATCGTTTGCATACCGTGTCAACAACTTATAAGAGATAATTATAATTTTTTTATAAACAATATCTCGATCATTTATTTATTATAATTTAACAAAGTTTTTAACAAGTATTTTTTTTTTTTTTATAAATTATTTAATTACCTTCGAGCTATTATATGTGATATTACGTTTTAAGATTTTCCAAAGTATTCTAAAGTATTAAAGTGGTATTTAAAAAATACATAAATTATTTCAAGCGCTATAAATTATTTCAGGATTTCCTAATGGAGTTTTAAATAAATAAAACTTTTAGATCTACGTATAATTAGAATACTTAGTTAATTTAAATTTGTTTAAATTTAAATTGTTGATGAATGTCAGTTATAATGATTAATCATCGTTATATTTTTCTGAAAGCATCGAAAAATGCATTAATTATCTGAAGATAATCATACTTACGTGTGCTAAATACATAGAAGGATGTTTATTAAATATTTATTTTCACAAATATTTTGTTCCATTGTCGGGATATCTCGAAATTTTCCCCCTCGTTATCAATTGGAATTAGATGATTTGCTTGTACATTCATTGTACACTAAAATTTGTATCTCTTTGATAATAAAAGATAACGAATTACCCTTCGTTTATATTTTTAATTAAAACGAATGATAAAATTATAAGATCACAATGTTTGCTTTATCGAAAAATGGATGCTTAATTATTTGCCAATAAAATTTGTTTGAACATCGATATGAAAGATAAAGAAATTATACTTGTTTTGTTGTGATGATGCTTCTTTTCATGTCATTCATGTTTTTCTAAATTTTTTTTTCTTTCTTTTGTGGAATAATTTTCATGATCGATGATTTTAATTTTATTATTATTTTTCTTACATATTATATTAACAAATAATTTTTTTTTTTTCATAAAGAATTCATTGTATAATATTAGGTAATAATATTGGGTAATAAAATATAAGTAAAATACAAAGAATATATTATAATTATTGTACGAACGTTTAATTTTACAAAATTTCTTAATAATGATTTATAATATTTCGAAATATTTACAAACTTCTTCCTTTATTCAAATTTTATAACATTCAACGTTTTTAATCGATTGAATTTATTGATTAATCAATTATATAGTTCATTGTTTTTTCTTTCAATACAATCTGATAACCATTCATCTTTTAAATGAGATATTTTTTAAAATTATATTACACAATACCGAATATAACTTGTTGTAAATTTATATATAATAAAATAAAATAACAAATAATAGAATTTATGCATAAACACATGCTCTCTAATTAATTTTCAAACATTTATATAAATTTGAGAAATTTCAAACACCTCGTGTGTTTATAATATTTATAAATATAGATACGTGGAAGTCGATCGACACAAGTCATCGAGTTGTATACAAATATTCAACTCGAAACTTTATTCGTATTTAATTCTTCAGTTCGGCCGTGACTCTCATCGCAGCACCATTAAATAATCGTATTTAAATTTGTTACAGTGTTGAAAATTAGTATAAAGTATTAAATTTTATATTCTATTAATTAACACCATAATTTATTTTGTTTAAATTTTCTTCTCTTCTTTTATCCAACGAAACAGTACAGATTTTTTTTACAATATTATTGTATTATAATTTAACTGCTCATTACATATTGAACTGTAAATTAAAGGCATGTTCACTTTATATTACACGTCGCATATATATATAATTATATATGCATTTCAATAGATATTTCAAAGATTTTAAAATAAATTTTTTCTTACAACTCTGCTTGTTCGAATATTTTCCATAAATGTTTAGTTAAATTTAATTAATTCTATGAATTGATACGCACGCAATTTAAAACTTTTCAAGTATATCGTCATATTTTTTATATCCCTTTAATCTTCGATTAACCGATTCTCTTTGAATAGGAAAAAATTGATTAAAATTTATCGTTGGGATTAGGATCTGCAACTTTTTTATATTCCCTCATTTCGAAATAAATCGAACTATGATTTATCGAGAAAACCACTTTTTTTTTTTTTTTAAGTTCTTAGATACGAGTGTATAAATATCTTCCTATAAATTCTCTGACAATATATCTTGAAATATTTAAAATTTATATGGTATTTTCGATCAAAAATATAGTTAATCTAAAATTATAGGAATTCATTTTGTATGGTATAATATTCGGATTTGAATTTGATTGAACATTTATGAGAGGAACGTAAACAAGTTTTAAATATTTAAAAAAAAAAAAAAAAAGAAATAGTCTAAAGTTAAAATAAATTTCTACTTATCGATCATTTCATTTTATCAATGATAATAATTATTTATTTTATTTCGAGTGTAGTGAGTGAATAATGGTGTTTAAAAGAATCTTCGACTTGTTTTCGATGTTCAGATACAATCGCTTCCGATGTATGTTATTTTGCTGTTTCGATTCTATTTATTCAATGAAATTAATTCGATAACGAGTTTAAAATTTATTAATCGTTTGTGTCTAGAATTGTTTTGATAAAACAATTTCTCAAAGTTTGGCACATTTATTAAAATTAATCATTTCTTGGTGTATCATATAAGTATATATTAAAAATTCCAATCTTTATTTCGTATTAATTTATAAATAATTTATTGGAACATTATTGTGTTAATAATGTGATTTGTAAATTTGTATGTTTCGTTACAGGCGAGGACGAAAAGTCTGAGGAATCTGGTCCTGCAGATTTCGAACGAGCAATAATTAATTCTGGTAAGTACATATCATTTTATTAAATTATGTCATAGATAGTATATAATTCAAACTGCGAATATATATCTTCATATAATTTTTGTGAATTTTCGTGATATATTCTTTTTTTTATCGAATATTTAATATTAATTACCTAATTACAAATATTACGTAAAGTTAATCATAAAATTAAAGAATAATTTGGAGAGAAAAAATCTTTCAACTTACGAAAAAAACTTTAAATATATTGTAATTTTTTAAAAAATAAATAACATACGTGTTAAATAATTATACAAATGTAATAATAATAATTGTAAATTCTCACTGTTAATAGTTTTTATATATTCTAATCTTCCAACTTTTTAAGAGAGACAGATCTCTCTCAAAGAAAAAGAATTTTTCTTTCAAAACAACCGTATAAAAGATAGATACATTTATTAAAAAAAGGAAAAAAGAAAAAGAGATATATAAATGTCTAAGAATCCCCATCTTTTTGCTTTCGTTTCTTTTTTTTCCTTCGAAGAAGGGAACGAGAAAAGGGCCTCTTTTTTGAGAAGAAAGGGGGAGAAAAGAATACATGCGTATCTGGAAATGTTTTACAAAAGAAAAAAAAAACATGAATACTCGAACAGAAACTGGAAAAATCTGGTTTTGAATCCAGTTTGTTCGAATACACATTTGATGTAGGTGTATATCCTCAAGCTCAAGTTCTCCAATCGAAATTATCATTTCCATCATTTCCTTCATTTTCCAAATTCGACTTTCTCGAAAAATATTATTCTCTCTTTTTAACTCTAGAACCACCACTTATTAGACACCTCGAACACCTTAATACAATTTTCTCGTTCATCCACCAAATATTACAATGTATCATCAAAAAATTGTAATAAACGTAAAATCAATTATATTATTCATTCTATTCAAACAATAAGACATAAGACATAAACGTGCAAGAAGATTTCCACAAATTTTCTTTTCCAATACGAATACAGGATAAATTTATTTAATTTGTTGGACAGGTTATGGAAGGTTCAATTACTTGTTACTATTGGCCGTGTTGCCGGCCAGCTTCTCCAGCATCTTCTCCTCGTCGGCTATATCGTACGTGTTGCCGTCGGCTGAATGCGACCTGGGCCTCACCATGTTCGACAAGGGCCTACTCAACTCGATGACGTTCGCAGGTGGTATATTCATTTATTGGCGTAACCACATAACCGCGACTGTAATTACAGGTTGAGCTTAAGACACAGAGAGTCAAAGCGCGCGTTCGGTACGCTTCGAGTTTCTGGTTAGAACGAACAGTTCTGGTGTACGCTATGGACAATTTAGGGAATGTATTTTCAGACATGGTAATTAAACGACACAACTCTTGTAACTTCATCCTGCAAAATGGCCACGTGGCTCGCATGGCTAACGATCTCGAACGGTCGAGCGTTCGAGATCGGCAGATCGTTCGATTCGTCCACTTAGAAAATTGCTTCCGTTTTTTTTTTTTTTATTATATTCCGACAATACTTCGTGTGTACGCTCGAAAATTTGGACGCACCCTTCGTTTTTTAAACAACGACATTTCACATTTTTGTGCTGGAAATATCTCAATTTTAAAACGTAATGCTTGATGTTATTTTTAACGGATAAGATGTTCACGAAAATTTTGTTTAAGAAATGAAGTGAGCTTCAAGCTTTTGGACAGGAATGTACGCGGAATGTATACAGAGTGTTAATATATTCGTGGGATAGGTTTGGAGAATCGATTGTATAGAAAGAAAAATGCAAAAGTCGGTGTAATTGAAAATGTACGGTTATTCGTTTTGGAATTATAAGTTATAATTTAGTAGTAGACGAAGCGAAATAGAGATAGATTGGAGATGAGGATGTCTCGCTCTTACTATTTTTCTATATCAATTTTTTTCTATTTGTCCCTAGAAACGATCTTCTTGCCTCACGAATATATTAATGCCTCGTTAGATTTTTAATTATTTGCGCAGGTAAGGAAATAAGGCTTGGTTGCTTATCAGTGATACACTTAAAGATAATAACAACAAACGAATCCCTATGTGAATTTTAAAGGGTATCGGGATTGAGACTTTCTTGGAAATTTTTTTCCAAGAAAGAGGACAGATTGTTTTTCGAGAAACGAAATTTTGTGATGTAATCAGAAACGAAGATATTTTCGTTTCGTCATATTTGAGATCATATTTATAAATATTTTGTCTTCAATCTAATTCGTGTAGTATCTTTATAAATCATACAAAAATAGTGGATTTATTATTCGAGAAAATTTGTTAAATAAATTTGTTTTAAATAATTGATACGAGATATTAGCGTGCTTGAATTTATTTCGTATATTATCTATGATATTTTATATCGTATTATGAATTTATATTGCATTGTTTCGTTGTTTTTATGTGTGCGATTCAAATCGATTGAACCATTCATCACAAAATTATTTGTGTTATTCTAAACAAAATAAACAAACGAGGCAAAACATTCTACGGAAAACTTTTAAAAACTTTTAGAAGCTTATCAGTTCTTTATCACGTAATTAATAGATCGTTGTAATTGTAATCGTAATGTTTTCCTCGATGTTATCTTTAATACAATTGTTTGATAAATAAATTATCAGTATCGTATCAGTATACCGTGTTGTTTTTTTTTTTTTGTAAATAAACTGATATAACGATAATAATAAAAACAGGTAGAAGAGATACGAGGATTTATGAAAACGGAAAATCCCATGGAAATATCAATGAGTATAGACAAATAAACAAATTGATTTACAATGTGTTATGTGTACAATTTTTACAATTTTTTTAAACGATTCTTTACTTAAAACAAAAATCTTATACGTAAACAAATTTCATAATAACATATAAAATATTAAGTTATCATTTATAGATTTTATTAAAAAAACTTCGTTTCTGATTTATCCATCTGCGAATAAAAAGATTATTGCTTCTTATTGCATCATCATGTTCATATCAAAATTTGTTTAATCACAATAGTAATTATTACTCTCCAGAATAATAATAGATATCCTCATTAATTGAGGAATTCAAGTGAATTTTTAAATAAATATACGTATATGTTTTGTATAAATCTGTATTTTTAAAAATTATTGTTATTTTTCTCAACAGCACTGAATATATTTATAATCCAAATTTTCAAAATTCCATAAACGTAAACGATGTTTTCTAACAGAAATAAATAATTAAAATAAATTTCCTTGCGATCTTCGATAATTTTTCATAATCGATAAAAATCAAAAACTTAATACGAAATCTATACGAACGAACTTATATCGATTTCTATTAACGAATCATTAATATTAACGAGAAATCCCTGCCAATTATTGACAAAAATTTGGCTGGTTTCAGGTATGATATGCACCTCGTTCTTCTGGGGATTCATGACTGACACGTTTGGTCGTAAGAAGATAATGTTTTACGGTTACATGTTCACCGGAATCATGAGTCTGGTGACATGTTTCTCGCATACCGCATGGCTTTTAATTCTGTTCAAGTTTTTCGACGGAGTAATGTAAGTTGATATTACGATCGGCATAACAATGAAAACTTGAATCGTTGCGTTTGATATCTATATTAACATCGGCAAGTACATTATATACGTGAGCTGTTTAACTGACGAATGAAAAAAAAATGTTAAACTCACGTATGATTCGGAAAAAAGAATTATTATTGTCACGTATAATTAAATATATATATATAATTGCAGCAATGTAAATTATATTAAGATATTTAATGTAATGATTATTAAAAATAATTTCGAATATTTTTAACGTCAGCATTTCCGGCCCATACGCAGCGTTGATGTCCTATTTGGCGGAAGTGCACAACGATGCTCAACGATCTCGAACTTATATGTGGCTAGGAGTGTTTTTCTCGCTTGGAAATATTTCTCTTCCGTGTAAGTGTTCACTTTGAGAGTCGAGTGTCATACTTATTTTTCCAAAAACCATATATAAGAGCAAATAGCCTGACCTGAATTAACCTTAATCAATTCTTCCTTGTAAAATGTAATCGCTAATGGAAAAGGAAAAATGTACAAAATGGGAGTCAATATAGTCAGTTCTTCCTTATAAAATCATCTAATCATCTAATAGAAAAGAAAAAATGTACAAAATTGTTTGAAATATACATCGTTACGTGGGATAATTTTTAAAATTTGGAATGCACGAATGATTTTTAAAATTACGTTTCTCAATCGTAGGAAAAGAAATGTACGTTTGGTTTCAGGTATCGCGTGGTTGATCATACCGCAGAAATGGATTATTAATCTGGGAAACGGGGACATAGAGATCAATTCGTGGCGCGTGTTTTTAGCGATTTGCTCGTTGCCAGAATTTCTTGCCTGCATGGCTATCTTCGCATTCCCCGAAAGCCCTCGTTTTCTTTTGTTGAAAGGCAAGACGGACGAGGCTCTCGAGGTTTTTAAAAAGATATATTCCGTGAACACCGGCAAGGATCCAAACACGTATCCTGTAAGCAATAATAATTATATTATGATTTAAATGATCTTGGTTGCAGATTTAAATCTTTTCCCAGCCATACACGATTTGCTTGGAAAATTTTAAAAAAATACGGACAAGTTAATTTCAGAAATTTTTCACATTAATAATTCCACGATTCAAAGATTTATATATGAAAGAAAGATGATGCACATTCCAGATAAAAGATCTTGAGGAAGAGTATTCGGTCGAATGTTCGAGTGACAACATACGGGACAAGCTGCGATCCTGCTGGCAACAGATCAAACCTCTCTTCCTGCCACCGAACATCTTCAAACTTATCGTGATAAGTTTGATTCAATTGGGTGCCACGATAGGGTTAGAAATTAACGAATATATTTCTTCAAATATATTTTCAACATTGTCGATTTTATTAAAATTTTCTCCCTTTTTTTTTAACGCAGACTTTTAATTGACATGATTTCGAAGTATAGTTTCTTAACGTTTCTCATGTTCAATTTTCAATGTTCAATTTTAATAATTATTAGAGTGACTGGGTATCAACGACATAAATTTTAAATTTTCAGGTCAAACTCGATTAGATTGTGGATGCCGCAATTGTTTACTATGATGGAACATTTCAAAAGTGATTACACGAAACAGGAATATTCGAGCTCCCAGCCACGTTTCTGTTACATGTTAGGCCAACGGCAAACGAATTACAGCTCCCCGTTAAGTTTCGTGAACGAAACTTTAAACGTTGCTCACACATGCATACCGGTAATTATCTATGCATGTTTAATTCTTGCACGCATAACCACATTCATTTTTAGATTCTAGATAATGAAACGAAAGTTAAGATTTATTTAATAAAAGTTGCGAACAATTTACAATTTCGATGAGGTTAGTGTCCATCTTCGTAAAAAATAAATTAGCTTCAAGATGTTCCAATGTTTTATATATAATGCTCCTGCATATTCGTTAACAATTAAAATTTAAATTTTTCCCACATTATATATTATTGCATTTATAATTTTTGCAATTTTCATTTTAGGCGGAATTAAATTCGAAAGTGTTCATTAATTCTATCGCGATTGCGACTACCGGTGTTGTAGGATACACTTTGGCAGGATCACTGATTACTGTAATAGGGAAGAAGAAGCTTATAGGTTAAAAGATCTATCCAAACTTTTCTTTAATCTAGATTTAATTTTCACAAAATTAATCAATAAAATTGGCAATTAATTTTTATTTTTTTTTTCAGCAAGTTGTTTCATGGTGGCAGCCAGTTGCTGCACGTCACTCTATTGGGCTGAAAACAGCAATAGTATACTCGGCTTGTGCTCGGTATTCGTAGCTATGTCGAGTATAGGCGGCGCTTGCGTCGTAAACATTGTTGCTGATAATTTTCCTACGTGTTTAAGGTGTAAAAATGTTTTATTCGTTTCCTCCATATCCTATCGTATCACATTTCCAACTGTTTTAATATCCTTTTTTTTTTTTTTTCAGAACCATGGCAATTAGCTTCTCCATGATGATAGGCAGAATAGGAGCTGTTACAGGCAATTTATTGTTCCCGGTGTTGTTCAACTTAACTTGTCTGGGTCCTTTCTTTATGATTGCCTCCGTTTCCCTAGGTAACATTATCTCCTTTTATAAATCTTTGGCTTTAAATAAATAAGGATCATATCGTGATATGATGATGATGATGGATTAATCTTGTTTCATTCTCAATTGAATATTTTATTATTTCTTTTTTATTTCATCAGTTTTTTTCATTTCAGTATCGGCATTGTTGGTAATTATTCTTCCCAAGAAGCATACGAAGAAGAATAAATCAAAGCAGATTGCTTGATGATTATTACGAATGGATAAAATATAATCAGCTAATAATAGCTGAAAACACGGTTTGTAAATATATATATCTTGTCCTTGATTGAATGTATAATTTCAATGCATGATTTTTCATCATGTAAATATGTAAATACATTACGATTACATTCATGTAGCATAAGATATCTTCATTATATTATAAGTGTAATTCGAATAATTTTGCAAATCGAATGCATGATCTAAGTGAGATTTTTAAAATAAGTCTCGTGGTTGTATGGCACGAAATAATTTTTAAATAATTCTCGTCATTTTTAAGTCGATTTGTCAGTCTGTGAATTAGATCATAATTCTTATTGCAATGTTTTTCTAAAACAATTTAATAAAAAGAAACATTATCGTTATATAATAAAAATATATTTTCTTATTGTTTTAGAAATAATTCAATTTCTAAATAAATTGACCTTTTCGTTTCGTATTATTATTCGTCTATACAATTATGTAAATGTTTTATGTATTTATGCAATACAGATAACAAAATGGAATACATAAAATGGAATAGACTTTGTTAAAGATTTTTAACCAATAGATTAAATAAAGAAGATAAAAAAATTAATCGGAGCCGCGTTTTGGCGCATAAATTTTGTAAAGCATGTATAAATAAGGATAGCAAATAGTAGGAAAAAGAAAGAGATAGGATAAAAATTAGAGAATCAGCGCCATCTTCGGAGTGCCGTAAATGAAACATATATAGATAAAGAAAGCAAATAATACGAGAAAGATAGAAATAAAATACGAATTAACCACCAGCGCCATCTGGATTGAATGCAAAAAAATATCGTGTGTTCAAAAAAATGGCGCTGATAATTAATTCCTATCTTATGTCTATCCTTTGCTTGTTATTGCTATTCCTCTCCTTGTTTATATTTGTTTTTATTTATATTCTAGAGATGGCGTTGATTCTATATTTTTTAATATTTTTATGACAGCAACATGACATTGTATGTCGCGATACAATGTCATGTCAATGCGATATTTAATTTTCACGTCGATAAAAATTATGACATGATTTAATGTATAAAATATATAAAAGCAGTCATAAGAGAGATCATGAATTTTTGTTAAAAATTTCCAACATTCGTTAATAGATGTCTCTGTGGTGCTTTGGTGGTCACAATCATTCGCAATATGGTATCCGCGTCCACGTGAATATCTAACCTATTCTAATTGTTTATGTACTATAAAGGCAATAATTGTTTATCATACTATTATTATAAATAAGAATCATTAATGAAAAAATGACAACTGACGAGAAGATAATTAGTGCGGAAGATATATTGAATAATAAATCAGGTATTTCAGATGCGAATACAAAAGATTCGGATAGTATCGATAAAAAGTGTAATAAAATAAGTCTAAAAACCAAGAAAGAAAAGTCATTAGAGGAACAAATTCCTAAAGGAAAACCAAAATCTGGTAGGATATGGAAAGAACAAAAAAAAAGGTTTGTAAAAAAGAATAAAATATATTTAGTGATATTAAGTTTATTTCATGTTCATTACATTATATTTATAATATTTATAAATAGGTTTTCTTCTATTGTTAAAACACGTGGTATACGATTATCTTTTGATAAAAAACAAAAATTGAAGGAAGATCTAAAACATGTTAAAGAAATGTCACGGGAAATAAAAGCGAAAAAGCAAGCGGAAAAGGAGGCAAAAAAAGAAAGAAGAAGAGCCAATTTAAAACGTGCTGCAGAGAATCAAAGGAAGAGTGAAATTGTACAAGTTGTAAGTGTTTTTGATTAAATTAAACATTTTATTATGTATTTGTATTACAAATATAAAAAACATATAAAGAGAATAATTTATACAATAGACGGTATTATAGTATTTAGGTCTGTGCATATCGAATCATATGATATATATTATAAAATATATAAATGTAGAAGAGATCAATATAGATGATAATTACTATCGTAAATTATATCATAAAAAAGTTAAATTAGAATATGTTATCATTGTAATTTCAATCATGTAAGGATTGTTTTGTACTTTATTTTCGCATTCCACGGATTCGAATGTCCCTATAGATGGATAGGATTAAGTTGTATTGATTAATTAGTAATATTAATTCATTATATCAATTTTATACCAGTCACTATGATTTATTCATAGAAACGATAAATAAATAGCGATCGTATATTGATGCTGTGCATATCATATGAATGTGCTTCAATGTAGTATTAACAAAATTTTTTTTATTTTAATATCTCGAAAAATATAAATTTTCAATAACAATCCACGTTATAACTATTATAATCTTTCAGGCATAATTTTTGAATTAAATTATCGCTATTTAATTCGTTAAATTAAGGAATCGCGATTAATATTATAATATATATATTGTGCATAAGATTACGTTATTCGATTGAATTGGTTTAAGTACATTTTGATTGTCGTAACGATTATTATGTTAATGTCGAATTTAGATATTTTAATTCAGAATATTTTCTGATTCGAATATTTATAGTAATATCTATATTGAATTTCTCATTCATATATTTTCCAAATGTTTATGTATCATCATAAAATCTAATAAACGTGGGCCCAAATACTATGATACACTCAAATTGAAACACAATTTAATTATAAATTATTTTATTTTATAGATCACAAATACTGCAAAATTGAAAAAGATTAAGAAGAAACATCTTAGAATGATAGAAAAAAGAGATACGCTCAATTTTTAGAAATATTGAGCACTTACATCTCTAAAGTAATTTATGATTTTATAATTAAAATGTATAAAGTATGTATTGTAAATAAAAAAAAGAAAAAAAGAATGGTCTAAACATATATAAAAAATATATATATATATAATTATCAATGATATAATTTAATTATACAATTTATGATCTATTTATATTTCATCATATAATTGATTCTTGAATATTCAAATAAAATATTTTCTTAAAAATATAATTTTTATATATGTAAAAAAGTTTTTAAAGATAACGCAGTATTTTTGAATATCACGTTTCCTGAATTAAAACATTTTATTCTTTATTTTCTCTTGCCTTTTGTTTTTCCACAAAATTTTTAAGATTTCTTTTTAAATCATATTCATTTTGTGTGATCCACTGTAAATTCGAGAATAAAAATTTCATTAATAACTTTCTCGATTATTAAAACAATACGAAATCAATGTTAAAAAATTTACCATTGATTTGACCCATTTTGGAAGATTCTCCTTGTTCTGTGACACCAAGAATCTAAGAGATTAATAAAGAAATCAATCAAATTGTTGAATATTTGTAATGAAATGTCTCCATTTACATGTTATTAAATCAACACGAACCTTTCATCTACCAACAATACTGCTCCCCAATCATGAATGTGTCTCAAGCAACGTCCTAATGCTTGATTCAAAGCTCTGTAAGCTTGAATAGAATACCATTCTGAACCTCTCAATAATCCTTTCGAAACATTCATATCATTGTACGTCATTTTCATATCGATTACAGGATCCTTTCTTACTGCATACGGTATTCCAACCTGAGAGATAACATTATTCATGATTTTTCTATGATTTTTAATATGATGTTAAATCATATTTAAATTGTGGAATCACTCACAGTTACTACGCAACGAGCTTCGTTATCTCTAAAATCAATTCCTTCTGCTACTTTCCCCCTAAAAACTGCCAAGAATAGAGCTCCAGTGATTCTTCCTTTTGATTCAGTCGAAGTATACTCTATCACTTCACGGTATTCGTTCATAATATCTGTAAGACCGCCTCCATGACGAGGTTCTATGAAAACAGTTTTAACACTTGTAATTTTACTCCAAATAGAATTTTGTTTCCACCTCTCCATTTGTGTATTCATTACGTTGTAGGAAGAGAAAAAACAGAGGATTCCGTGAGGTATCGATTCGCAAACATCTAGTAACACTTGACCCAATTCATCCTAGAAGAAGAAGAAGAAGAAAATCATATATCAAAGATGTCAAATAAAAGGATACTATTTTAAAATAATGGAAAAAAAATTTCCTGAAAATTATATTTTATTTGGAATTCTGTTTTTAATTTCACGTTAAACAATCCTCTACAGCATCCTCAAATCCTACTTGGACATTTTGGATATTTTAATTAGAAGCTTACCTGAAATTGCCAGGTATTCACAATTTGGTAATTAGCTTTTAGCAATATCCCATTTGGTCCTTTTGGTATACATGTCGCATAAACTTGTTCCTTAGGTATCACGTGTCCAGTGTTTAGCACGTGCGTGAATGACGTTCCTAATTCACTTTGGAATGACGCGGTTGGCGTCAGGGTGCCGGACGCGAGTATTATACAGCGAGCATTTAGAGCGAGCGGTGAAAAGGCCACGCCAGGATTCATGCACACTAATTTCAAGGTTCGTACACGTTGTTCACATTTCTTTACCGATATCCACGCGTTTTCACTCATCTAAAATATCAAAAATATAAAAGATAATGTTTGGAATTTTTTTTTTTTTTTGGAGAGTATAGTTTATTTTAAGATAGTTGGATTCATCGTTCAAAAGGTAAGATGAAATTTGTTATATTCCTTAAATATTTTAATAATTATTAGACGAATAGATGATATAATATAGAATTTTTCTTAATTTTTTTTTTTATTAATTCTCAATTCACGTACATGCTTGAAATCTTTCACTGTGCTCTCAATCACGCATGCCCTATAATCATTTTGGTATTCCTTAGAGGTGATCATTCTTATGGTGTACATTAGATTTTCAATTGTCATTTTGGTGCTAGATGATATGATTGGCTTCGTTATTGATTTGTACATTCTATTGTCCTCTTTCGCCTTATTCAAATCCGAGATCGCTTTATTGCAGGCCATCAGAAACATAGAAAGGACAGTGTCGTTTAAACCTTCATGTTAAATAATTGTACTAATTCTACACCAGTCCAATATTTACTTGAACGATTTTCATTATTGTAATCCTGTTAAAAGAATGTATCATTATATCAGATACAAATTAATTATAGTAGACAATTAATGACAAGACAGAGAATTTTAGCACAGCAAAGGATTTTATATACAACGAGGCAGCTTCGATTTAATTTGATTAAACTATACACATTTCTATCATACTCTTTTTCTTTTTTCCCTTTTTTTTTTTTGCAATATATTTTTCGATTAAATTTCAAGAAATTTAGTTTAGCAGTAGCAATCATTTAATTAAATAAGAGAAAATACTTACGACTTTGTCAAGACTCATGTCTTTTAAAAATGCCATCACATTGAGTAGAAACGTTTTGAGAGTATCATAAGTCGTGAAATCTTCAGCCCTCTGTTTCGCGAGGGTTTCACATTCATGTGCAGTAGCTTGGAGATGATCCTCGCGAAAAGAAACACTGGAAACATCTCTAGAAATATCTTCTATGTTATGAGCCTCATCCAAGATGATCACCTGATCTTTCATATCCAGTTGCAGCTAAATTTTTAATTATAGAAAAATATAAAATGAGAATGAAACTGTAGCGTACAAAATATCTTATATTATTAATGATAAAATAAATGTACTCACGCTTTCGCGAATATTAGGATCGATGATATAATTGTAAGGGCAGAAAATAATATCCGCAGTGTCCATCAAGGTTCTCGCTGCAAAGTATGGACACGATTCTTTCTCCTTTCCAATATCCACCAAATCTTCGATATCCCATATCGGTCTTAAACCAAATCTTTCCAACGCCCAGAACGTGCCAATTGTTTTTTTATTAGTCTCGTTGTAATATGGACACCCTTTGTGCTTGTGTATAAAAATATAGTTTTTTTTTGATTTCAATAGATTCATCCGTAAGATGACTTTCGACATGAGACAAAATTATTAATTTTCAACATTTCCATTCCATTCTTTTAGAAACGGGATAAGTTTTCTTTTCTAAGCTCGTTAATAATTTTAATTAATAAAAAAAAAAAAAAAATTAAGAAAAAAGAATTGACAAGTTTTTACAAAGGAAACTTTTTCTTCAAACAAAGTATTAATTAAAATTAATTTAAATTAATTGAACACAAACCTTCGCAGTATCCAATAATTCATTGCAAAGCTCAGTTTTATTTTTAGTGGTATTTTGTATGCAAGTATACTCTCTACTGCTCAAAATAGTCATTCTAAGGAAAGAAAGAAAAAAAAGAAAAAAAAAGAAAAAATAATAATAACAACAATCAACAATTAACAATTTATGTTCCACATAAAATAAAACCAGACATTTCTTACTTCTTATGTTTGTAACAAGTTTTCCTCAATTCCTTCACAACTTGTTCGATTTGCTTATGCGTTCGCGTGCCGTAAAATATTCTTGGCACTTTTAACTTTTTTCTAAAATAATATTACGCATCGAAAAAAATCAATTTAATAATTCGGGAAGAAAAAGGAAAAGAAGAAGAAAAGATGGAATAATTTTTACCCTTTTGCATCCTCGAGCAAATCTTCGTAATCCTCGTAGGAATCATCGGAATCAAGCATACATTTTTTACTCGATTCTTGGCAACAATCTTTTTCATTGTTCTCGCACGAAGTCGTTTGTTTACCCTCTCCTGGAAAACGAAACAAAGAAACGTTTAAATCCTTCCTACACCAGCTTTCAAGCATCGAAGAAATTATACTCGAAACTCTTCGACGACGAGGAGAGAGAGAGAGAGAGAGAGAGAGAGAGAGAGAGAGAGAAGAAGAAAAGAAAAGAAAG